TTGTGTGTGTATAACATATTCAATATATTAGGATATCTAAATACATATATATATGTAATAGTTGAAATGCAACCATTTATAGTGGAGGGGATTATGCCAACTCACTACCGCAAGCATTACCCATCTTTTCTGCATATATATATACATATATAATATATATATAATATATATATATATAGTATATATTATTATATATATATATTATATATTATATATAGTATATATAATATATATATCCAATATGGGTATGCTTGGTACCGAAGCACGTAAAATATTGTGCTTGTAGTATGTTCATATCCCCCTCCAGCTTCATCAAATATGGGACTAACATTCAACATAGGGTAGAGTGGATTGAGAATGTGACACATCACTACCAAGCACAAATTTATGCTTGGTACCGCCCAAAGCATCCCATTTCTCTCATCTCTCTCTCTCTCTCTCTCTAATATATATATATAATATATATATATATATATAATAATGAAATAAGTTATATATTATATATATATATATATATATATATATATATATATAATATATATATATATATAATATATTATATATATATTGTGCTGTGTGCTGTGTCATATACATCATATACATCTACATACATACATACAATATAGATTAACAAAAGTTTCAAGATTTGATTTTCCTATTTTATTTTAAAACATTTCCTTCTATTTTTAAATTTCAAAAGGATATGGTAACAATATGGAAATTTTATTTTTGGCAACTGAATCAAATTATTATATGTTGATTTGGAATCTAGTCATATGTTACCCTCCAAATTTTTGATCATTTACAAAAATAAAAGTTTCACATATATGTTAAATTATGAAGCAAAGATACACTACAACAAATTACACTTTTCCCGACGCTTATTCTCGACGCATGGTTAAATACGTCGGCAAAAATTATGTTTTTCCCGACGATTTTAGTTAACGTCGGCAAAAATTATGTTTTTCCCGACGATTTTAGTTAGCGTCGGCAAAACATATATTTTTCCCGACGTTTATAATTAGCGTCGCTAAAAGTGTATATTATTAGCGACGTTTTAACTTAGCGTCGGTAAAAGTGTATGGATTTCCCGACGTTTTTTTATTTTCGTCGGCAAAAATATATATTTTTAACGACGTTTTAGGGTTAGCGTTGCTAATAATATGTATTTATCGCGATGTATTAGGTTAGCGTCACTAAAAGTCACTTTTTCCCGACGGGCCGGCTTTGCGTCGCTGAAAGGTATATTTTTAACGACGCGTTTTTATTCATCTGCGTCGCCAAAAAATCGTTCGTTCCCCCCTAAAATTCCATTCCTTCCATCGTTCCCCCCAAAATTTCATTCCTTCCATCGTTTTCCCCCCAAAATTTCTCTCATTCCCCCCTAATCTCCTCTCTCTCCTTCTCTCTCTCTTTCATCTTATCACAGCCGCCCCATCCCGCCGACCTCCTCTCTTACTCACTCATGTCGATTGCAGTCCCTCACCGGCAACTCTTCATCGGCGGAGAGTGGCGGGAACCTGTCCTCGGCAAGCGGATCCCGATCATCAACCCGGCCACCGAGGCCACCATCGGTTCGATTTCTGCCCCTTTTTAAAGCAAAATTAGGGTTTCCTTGATGATCGGCGTTGTCGACTTTGTTACGGCCCAAATTTATTAAGTTTTGTTCTAAATAACACTTTTTTGCTTGGGTTCTGGCTTATTTGTTATCGTAGTATGATTAGCTCTTGGAAATATGAAGATTCCGGGGAAATTAGGAAAGAATTTGAAAAGAAAAGCAACTTCAGTAAAATTAAGTAGAGAATGAAGACCGTGAAGTTGGGGGTCTTGATGGAAGCCATTCCTTTTTTTTTCTTTTCCTGTGTTATTTAGTTAAGTTTATGGGGTTTCTTGACGGTTGGGGTTGTTGTTTTCGTTTGATTGCAGGAGATATACCGACAGCGACTGAGGAAGATGTGAATCTGGCGGTGTAGGCGGCGAGGATAGCGTTGAAGAGGAACGGCGGTAAGGAATGGGCTCGTGCTACAGGAGCTTTTCGTGCTAAATATCTCCGGGCAATTGCTGCTAAGGTAGAGATTTAAATGTTCCCGTTTTTCAATTTTTTTCATTGATTGGTGTAGTGATGGTTATGTATCTCAGGTCTTTGATATCTCCTTGGGAGAAACTTAAAAAGAGTAAATTCCACAGAAAACTATCACGACTTTAGGGTGGTTTTGCAAAAAGGCACCATTAAAATTTTTATCAGAGAAAACTATGAACTGACTATAGGTAGGAAAGTTGGTCATCTTCACATGTGACATGTATTGGATAATTTTTTGTCCTTGTGTGCTTTATATGTATACTATAGTTGGTCATCTTCACATGTGACATGTATTGGATAATTTTTTGTCCTTGTGTGCTTTATATGTATACTATATTACCTCTCCTGTTCTCCTTGCAAATGTTGGATAATTTTTTGTCCTTGTGTGCTTTATATGTATACTATATTACCTCTCCTGTTCTCCTTGCAAATAGGTTTTTATGTCCTTTTTTCCTAGTTATTAACATCATTAGTAGCGACATGGTATTTTTCCGTAGTTTTGAAAATTCATGATAATTTTTCTCAAAGGGAAAAAGTTTATGGTGGTTTTGTGAGACCCCTTCCCCTGAGTTCATGACAATTTCGTGAAATGTATAGTTAACTAGTCAAAATTTTCTGGAATTTGCATGTATGCCTTAAAACATGGCTGATGCTGAATAATTTGAAAACGATATTTTTAATGTTTTTGGATCATAGGAGTTGGTTGGAACCTCATGTTGTTCAAGCTTCATCCAAAATCCAAGAAATATGTTTGGTGAGTTGAGTGGTGTTATGACTACAAAAAGTTGTGACTTGCTTCATCCAAAATCCAAGAAATATGTTTGGTGAGTTGAGTGGTGTTATGACTACAAAAAGTTGTGACTTGTAAAAACAAAATAATTTAAAATTGGTTTGGTGAGTTGAGTGGTGTTATGACTACAAAAAGTTGTGACTTGTAAAAACAAAATAATTTAAAATTAGAGAGTTAGTGATGCATTCAGATGTGTGTGTTCCAACGGTAAGAATTGAAAATATATTATGTTGTAATTTGTAAATGCATTTGCTACTGCTACTACTAATCAAAGATGCACTTATTGGAAGAGTGGTGCGCTTAGTTCTGTTCTTGTTCCAAGAATCGAGAACTTAGATTCTTCTACTTTAATCTTTATTATGAAGTCTTGATATCTTTATATGAACCTTTTCCACTTCTTCTTAGTCTTCAAGAATCATCAAAGGCTTTTCATTCTGAACATAAAAGGCTTTTCATTCTGGACATTGTCTTCATTGCATCAAATGACAGTTGTTTGAAGAAACCAAGGAGGGTACACTAGCAGAAAAAAATGCTATTTATCAGATTGCAAATAAAGAGGTACTTGCAGCTTCATGGTGTGTTAGAATTGGTTTAGATTTTTCTTCTGTTGTCACTGTCGAGTTATTTGTGCTACAGGTTGCAATTATATGCAATCATCAGCGCAGTTTTTCAAAGTCTCATGATGCTCAGATGTCAAGATTGAATGAGAAAATAGATGAGTTAAAGGTTAGATATATTTTATTCTTCTGCCTGAATTTCTTCCGCCTCCTTGTTCTCATCACTTCCCCTATAAATTTTTTTTGTTCTGCTTGATTAGGCACAAAAGGAGGAGTTGCAAGTGGATTTGAGCAGGGCAAGAAAAGGAAAGCCTACTTAAGCAGAAGAAGAACTTGTCCCCTGAAGTGTAAGGAGGAGTTATTATGAATATGTAGATAATGTTTTAAGTATTACTGATTGACCAATGCTTCTAAATTTTGTGAAAGCATTGTTAAACAGGGAATGCTTCATTCACGTGGTGAACTCCTTTTGATGCTTGATGCTGATGGGGCAACTAAGGTGACTAACCTAGAAAAGCTTGAAAGCCAGGTTCGTCTCAGCAACTTATGCAGAAAAATTCAGATGTATCAGTAAAGTCTCTTTTTTTCTTAATTACTTTTTTAGTATTTTTACTGAAGACAGTAGCCCGTGTTTTTACCAAGTAGCTAGTTTCAGGGGTACAAACTCCATAAATTAATTCTGAGTTCATTTCCGCCAAGAATATTGGCTGTGTTTTTCTTCTTTGAGCATTATGATAACTTTGATATACCTCCTACCCTACTACCATCAGATACATGCGCTAGCAGAGGAGAAAGAGAAACTTGGTTCACAGGCTACAACCCTAATTGACTCGAGACATAAGCTATCTGATATGGAAATTGTCTATTTATGCAAACATCTAAAAATCCCAATGATTGAGGTTTCTGTGAACTGGTCTGAGATACCTGGTTCAAAAGTGAGGCTAACTAGCGTTGTGCACATGCTCTTTGAGCTTGTTGTCATTCGTTTGGGCTATGGGCTTAGCATTTGGAAAATTTATACTTAATTAACATTTATCAGAGATCACAGAGAAGTTTCGAGCCAGCGTTGTGCCCTGATTTGGAAACTATTTGGATGCTCTGACCATCGCGTGTGTAATTTCCATTCTCCTTGCAACATTTCCCTTGATTCATCTGCATCTTCATGTACTGATCTTCTTCTTGGTTGGCAAGCCCTCATATCAGATACTTTGTTATTGATGCAAGATATATGGTGACACTAATGTTTGGAGTTCAAAGTGTTTGGGACTGCTGATGCATGTTTGTGCCTGTCAATGTTTCAACTCTATATCTATGGAGTAGTCCATTGTAAATCATTCTAAGTTGCAGAATTTAAAATTTGAGTAGGAACATACGATTTGTATTGAGCGCTATAAAATATATAGTAGTATTTGTTTGAGCTATATATATGTAGCTGATAATCTGACGTTGCATTTTCTCTAACAGGAAATTATCAAAGAACTGATGGAAAGGCCACCACACATGAAAGAGCTTATGGATATGTACTGTGGCCCTGATAGAGTGACTGCAAAGCAACAAATGCACTTATGGATATGTACTGTGGCCCTGATAGAGTGACTGCAAAGCAACAAATGCAGGAGTTAGACAGAGTCACAAAAACTCTATCAGAGAATATACCTTCATCTGTGAAGAGGTTCACTGCAAAACAACAAATGCAGGAGTTAGACAGAGTCACAAAAACTCTATCAGAGAATATACCTTCATCTGTGAAGAGGTTCACTGATCGTGCCGTTCTTTCACTTCAAGTTTTCTTTTTTCAACTTAGTTTAGATTCCTGTAAATCTTATAACGTGTCATTCTCTGAAATGGAAAACACTAAATATGGCAAACTGGAATATTTAAACAGGCCTTTGAGTGTTGACTTGGAAATGGAAATGAATGTAATTATTTTGCAATGGGTGCAAATTCTTTGTTTATCATAATATGCAACTTGTTTGGAGTATAATTTGATGTTTGGTTTCTTTGTTGATGTGAATGGGAGCAAGTTTTTTGTGGATGTTCAGGTTCAGTATAGGCTTGTAGTTGACAGAAAATATATTACTTTTGGCGATGCAAATTAGTGTCGACAAAATTATACTTTTTACCGACGCATAATTATGCGTTGCCAAAAATTATACTTTTCCCGACGCTATCTTGTGTCGGCAAAAGTATAGCTTTTAGCGATGCTTCACTCTACGTCGCTAAAAGTTGCACTTTTGCCGACGCTAACTTGCATCGCCAAAAGTATAGTTTTTAGCTACGAACAATTTTGCATCGCTAAAAGCTATACTTTTGCCGACGCATAGCTTTTGCCGACGCTGTATGCGTCGCCAAAAGTACACTTTTGCCGACGCAAAATATTATGTGTGGCTAAAAGATATACTTTTCCCGACACATGACGCGTCACCAAAAGTGTACTTTTGGCGACGCAGTGTATTTGCGTCGCCAAATACTTTCCTTGACGCACTTTTGGCGACGCATTGGCGACGCTGCATTTTGCGTCAGGAAAGATTTTTCCCGATGTTTTTTAAACTTTTCCCGATGTTTTTGTTTCGTCAACAATGTTGTATTTTGTTGTAGTGAATGTACACATTCAACATTCTAATCCAATATACAACATTATCAAAAATCCATTTCACCATAAACTTACAACAAATACAATACAAAGTCCATCGAACAACAAATAAAAATAATAAACCGTGACGCCCTTGATTTCACACAAGACCGCAGTCCAAGGTGAACCCAGGGATGTCAAACCTGCTCTTCACCCACACAGTGCAACAACATGTTTCACCATCATAGTAATATCTCTCTAGTAGAAACAATAAAAGATATAAGAGAAATAAAATTAGGGAGTAGAATATAAGAATACATGTCTAACAACATAGATAAACAAGTCTCAACTAAGAAACAAGATATACATCCAATGAACTGAAATAAGTGTAAATAATGTCAAATACAAGAGTCAAATGGATAGTACATAGGCACTCGGCCTTCAAAATAAAATACAACTCTAGAAATCAACTAAACGACTACTAAGCTAATGTGGACCAATAACCGACTATCACGGAATGACAACGACTATGCAGGAACTCCGTCAAACTACAGCTCTCCGGAACTCTGATCCGCTGCCTGAAAAGACGGAAAGAACAACAGCGTCAGAGCGCTAGCAAAAACATCTTCATTCGCCCCCAGGGGAAGGGCTACTACATATAATGGAGGCTCTACCTAAAATATGCATAGTCTACCTAAATTATTTACCTTGTACTAAATGGGGTTAATACTTAAAAAATCCACAACACGAGACCGGTACGTCGAGTAAAATAATCCAAAAAAAGGAAACCCTCATATATATACCATGTGTCTCAAATTGTGAATCGTTAAATACCAACTCCAGACAAAAAAATAAATAATAAAGGAATACATTATAAAAATACCATCCCAAACAGTGTCATAAATGTCAAACTAAATACCTCACGCTACCATTGGGTAGATGATATGGATACAAGTACATAATTCAGTATAACCCATAACACAATATACCCTATCACAATATAACTCTATGGTGAGCCATGCTCATAATTAACTCCGCTTAAGACTCAATCTATCAAAAGTTTCAAAGTACTATCTCTTGTAAAGTTCTATAGCTCATTGCAACATTTTGCAAAATGGACTACCTGTTCAAGTATCCTAAGAAAATACGGGTCACTAGCCTCATCACATCACCATGCAGAACAAACTACCTGTTCAGGCATCTTAAGAAAATACGACTCACTAGCCTAATCGCATCACCATGCGGAATAGACTACCTCCTCAAGCATCCTATAAGTAAGACTCATTAGCCTTATTGCATCACCATGCAGAATGGACTACCTATTTAGGTATCCTGCAAATACAACTCACTAGCCTACTTCATATGTGTTCCTACAAGTACAGTCCAACGGTCTACTTCATTAGTATACCGACGCACTACCCTATGCAGTACTGAGCTGTGCTTATCAACGGTATCCATACAGACACATATATTATTCTAACTAATCATTGCCTAGTCGTGGTCAAACAATACATGAAAATATCCTTTCTCGGAGGTCCGTATGTGCTAAAACTCCATGTGTACGTCCATGATCACGCGTTTGTACGTACGGTTTGAACCACATGTTCACAACCAAACAAGCATGGAAAAACCCTTCATCAGCAATTTAACACGTCGGTTGACTGTCCTTGATCATCGGTCGACCAGGGACGAATATGCACAACGTGTACAACACTACTGTGACGCCCCTGGTTTCACACAAGGTTACAATCCAAGGTGAATCTAAAGATGTCAAACTTACCATGCACCCACACTATGCATAAACACATTTCACCAATCATAGTAATATCCTCTAGCGGAATCAAATAGAAGTGCAGGTACAAAACAGATAAAATAAGAGAATAAATGTAATAGACATGATATAAAAAAGATATCTCATAAATAAAAGAATCATGTCTCAACTGTAATACCTTTGATAACTGACAAAATGAGAGTGTTAACATAAATCAACTAGAATCGTACTAAGGCTGACTGCCTTTACAAAGTCGAACTGGCTAAGTGTGTGGAGATCTCGATATAACGAGCATCTAAAAGCTACAATCCTGTGACGACGCTTCCTACACAATGCATCTGCTACGACATTCGCCTTCCCCGGGTGATACTGAATCGCGAACTCATAATCCTTAATAAACTCAACCCATCGTCGCTGTCTCTAATTTAGCTCCTTCTGAGAGAAGAGGTACTTCAAGCTCTGATGATCTGTGAATAGCTCAAACTATACTCCGTACAGGTAGTGTCTCCATGTCTTCAATGTGAAGACCACTACTGCTAGCTCCAAGTTATGTATGGGATAGTTTTGTTCATGCATTCCCAACTGACGCGAAATGTATGCTACTACCCTCTGGGTCTGCATCAAAACACCTCCTAGACCTGCTAACGATGCATCTGTGTAGACTACAAAGGTCTTATCACTGCTAGGAATGGTCAAAACTGGCGTTGTAGTCAACTTAGCCTTCAAAGTCTCAAAGGCCTCCTGGCACTCCGTGCTCCAAACAAAAGGTACATCCTTTTTCGTAAAGCATGTAAGTGGTGTGGCTAGTTTTGAGAAGTCCTGAATGAACTTCCTGTAATAGCCAGCCAAAACAAAAAAACTACGGATCTCGGTAACTATCTTCGGCGGCTCCCAATCAAGTACTGCCATAACCTTAGCTGGATCCACTGTAATGCCCTCTCTACTGATGACGTGGCAAAAAAATCTAATCTCGGATAGCCAAAACTCGCACTTGATGAATTTGGCATATAGCTGGTGCTCCCGCAAAGTCTGCAATGCTAATTAAAGGTGCTGCTTGTGCTCTGCCTCCGACCTCGAATAGATTAGAATGTCGTCGATGGATACTGGTCCAAGTATGGACGAAAAACTCAATTCATCAAATCCATGAATACCGCAGGTGCATTGGTTAGCCCAAATGGCATGACAAGAAACTCGAAGGACCCATAATGAGTCAGAAAGACAGTCTTGGGAATATCCATCTCCCGAACCCGTAACCAGAACAAAGAACAATCTTCGAGAAGTGTTGCAATCCCTGAAGCTGGTCGAACAAGTCATCAATCCTCGGTAATGGATACCTTTTCCGGATAGTGACCTTGTTCAACTCTCGATAATCTATACAAAGACGCATACTACCATCCTTCTTCTTCACGAAAAGGACCAGCGCCCCCCCATGGAGAATGACTCCGGTGAATAAAACCCTGAGACAACAACTCGTCCAGCTGAGTCTATAGCTCCCTCATCTCAGCAGGTGCTATACGATAGGGAGCTAGAGATATCGGTGCTGTTCCTGACTGCAACTTGCTGCAGAACTCAACCCCTCTCATAGGAGGTAGCCCCGGTATGTCCTAAAAGACATCCTAAAAATCTGAGACAACCCTAGTCTCGAACAAATCAGCACTCCGATCTCTCAGCATCACCTCCTCGATATAGGCCAGAAATGACTCCGCAAACTGGTTGCCTTGTGAGGTAGCTACGATCAACTCAGACTCATCGAACGCTTGCAAACTGACTGTTTTCGCAAAACTGTCAATGCTAACATAGTAGGATGATAACGAATCCATACCGAGAATGACGTCAAAATCCGACATCCGCAAGACGATCAAATCTATGATAAATTTTGACTCATCTAAGCTGATGACACATCTCCTACAGACGTTTTCTAATAGAGATACCTCTCCTAAGGGAGTAGAGACTGACAACGGAACATCTAAAGGATGTGCGACTAACTGGAGCCTATCCATGAAGGCATGAGATATAAAAGAATGGGAAGCTCTGGAATCGAATAGAATCTGAACTGGAAAAGAGTTTACTAAGGTAACTACCTTCTACTATAGCTCCACTCGCACCGTGATCACGCGCTACGACTGCATAGACTCTGCCAGTGGCTGGCGACTGCTGAACTGTCGATGGTGGAATATACGGGACTATCTGTCCCTCGAAAATCTCCTGAATCGTGCGAATCTGGCCTACTGGCAACTCAATCCTAGGAACAGCTGACGGTGTCTTAATCCTCTACTGCGGCTGCTGGCCGTAACTGCGGCACTACTGATGCTGACCGTGACCATGGTTATGCTACTGACCGTGACCACGGTTCTCCTACTGACCGTGTCCTCGATACTGCTACTGGCCCTAGCCTCTGCCCCCCTAGCCTCCTGCTGGCGCACTGTGACAGTCCTTAGCCTTATGCCCGATCTTGTTGTAGTTATAGCATGCACCCTGAATCTTGCGCTGCGGTGGTGCTCTCAAGTCATGTTGTGCTCCCTTCTTGAACTTTCCCTGCTGATGGTGATGAAGTCCTTACCCCGCTGCTGGGGTCCTCCTAGTCCGGCAAAAGGTCTCTTGCCCTTACCCTTGTCATTCTGCTATCTAGACTTATTGTTACCCTCCTTGTTCTTATGGAACATCGCAGTCTCTATCTCCTGCGATATAGCAGCATCTTCTACCTCTCGGACTGAACGGAATCTTCTAGAAACTAGGTAACAGTGAAGACTTGGGCGAAGTCCTATAAAAAACATCTGCGCCTGGCGCTCTCCTGATTGCCACATGCCCGTGAAACGTAGAAGACTCATAAATCGGCTCTCATCGTCAGCTACAGACATATCTCCCTGCTCTAGCTTAGACAACTCTAGCTCTTTCCCAGCCCGTGCCGCAGAAGAGATGTACTGCTCGTCGAAGAAATACACTTCGCCGTCAGCGACTTCTCCGTCTTCCCCCACCGAATCAGCCACCGACTTCCGCCGCTTTCGCCGTCAGCGACTTCTCCGTCTTCCCCCACCGAATCAGCCACCGACTTCCCCCGTCAGCAGAGACCGCGACTTCTCCGTCTTCCCCCACCGAATCAGCCACCGACTTCCCCCGTCAGCAGAGACCGCGACTTCTCCGTCTTCCCCCACCGAATCAGCCACCGACTTCCCCCGTCAGCAGAGACCGCGACTTCTCCGTCTTCCCCCACCGAATCAGCCACCGACTTCCCCCGTCAGCAGAGACCGCGACTTCTCCGACTTCCCCCACCGAATCAGCCGGCCCAGGAGCTTGCTCGTCTCGCTTCGACCTACAAGGTACAATTTTGCAACTGTCCACAACAATGTGTATATATATGAGGAAACCGAATAGGAATGATGAGATTGTTGCCACACATACATGAGGAAAAGAGAGTTTCCAAGAAGGATTGCTGCCTTCTTGACTCAAGAAACGACCTAATAATTAATTGCAACCATAAACATCTCAAGATTAGATTTTGATCATAACAATAGAAAATTCCAAGCACCCAGTTACCCAGCAAATGCAGAATGACCAGATATAGTTACAGAATTCAATAAACTGTCTAATAACGTGCTGAAATATTTCTAAATCGATATAGTCATAAAATGTGACCCAAAGGAAACAGTTCAACATCCAGAAACACAAGAACAAGGGCATCACCTGAGCTGGGCTCGCCTCGATCGAAGTCCGCCATCAGCTCTTTGGCGGCCATTCGCTTATGAACAGAGGAACTACCCCACATCTTGAATTATTATTATTATTTTCCTTTTTTTTCCCGCGTCCTTCACGTCCAAATCATCAATCACAACTCTCGCTTCTCCAACGAAAATCGAAGAAAGAAAAACAATCAGAACTCAAGCTGGCGACAGCTGATTTAAAAATAACTGCACACTGTCCACAACAATGTGTTGCCTTCCTTACAGCTAGTTGACTCTCATTTATATTCTTGAATAGTTGTAAATGGTCTCAAATTGTTAATCCAGTTTCAAGTACTAAAAAGACTCTCATTTATATTCTTGAATTGCCAAAAAGACATATCCATGAACTAGTTGACTCCAATTTGTAAGAACATTCAACTACTCGAGCATTTTCTCAAGACTAGACTAATTTTTTGGGTGAAACGTTGCATCAAGAAAGGTTTGTTATGTTTCCTCCAGCAATGCATTTATTTCATTATTAATGTACAAGTGAACATTCAACTAGTCGAGCATTTTCCAAATACAGTTTGTGATTAGGTGTTATGTTTTGTGCTGCAATGCTTATTTCATTATTAATGTACAAGTGAACCTTTCTTGTAGGGATTAATGCAATATTACTAAGAAAAGCTCAGCTACGCGGTCGGAGGCAGCTTGAGGAGCACATCCACGACATTTCTACAGGGAGTTGTTGCAGATTGAGATGTATGTTGTCTGGAAATGTTGGAAATGTTATTGAGATGTATGTTGTCTGGTGTTAGGTTCTGTATAACTATGGTGTTAGGTTCTGTATAACTATTCTGATGCCAACATATAACTGTCCTATACTTTGTTTGATTATTATGCGAAAGGTTTGTTGTGCGACCCTTTGTGTGGAAAGTATGTTTTGATTATTATGGAGGATGGTTCGTTGTGCTTCCCTTTGTTGCAGAATAGTGATGATTTTTATTTGGTTGCATTTGGTTGCATTGGGATTTTTATTTGGTTGCATTTGGTTACATTTGGTTCCATGGATAACTGCCATGACGTTTCAGTTTCCCAAATAGATCCGGAAATATACAAGTTGCAGGGTTCTGTCCGAACATATGGTTTTGTTTAGCATCCGGAAGAACATCCTGCCCGATGGACGATCTCAAATTCTGCAGGCGGAGCTTGTCGAGGATGGAGGCATCGCCGTGGTGCTCGCAGCAGTCTGCGATGATGGCGGTGACTCTACCGTCTTCGTCGATCTCCTCGTATGCGTTGATGAAATGGAAGGTGACAAAATTTGGCACCTCCACACTAGCCACCTTAAATGTAGAGAATAAAACTGGTTGATTATTATTTGGCCCATACGTACATGTGCCCATGTGTGGGATTTTGGATCAGATACATGTGATACCGAACTCTGAACTTGAGAAGGAATATCGTATTTCCGTTTGAACACAGCATAGATGAACTAACTAGGAATTTGTACTAAGGATACCACAACTTATTTTCGTTAGAGAAAAATACCATACATAGGCTATTAATAGTGGAGAATAACACCATGGGCTTTCAAAATATTAAAACAAAACCATATGTTGTTAATAAATAATCATATAATGCCAAGGGAACAATTTTGTCAAGCACGCACATCCAAAGTTGACCGTCTCACCAATGCCAAGGGAACATTTGGTTACATTTGGTTGCATTGCGACTGATACATACAAGAAATTGAACAGCAGAGGTGAAGGGAAGTCGGAGATATCAACCAGCAACCTTGCAACTATACATCATCATATCAAAGTAGGGGACAGCAGGAGAAGTAATAACAGATTGAAGACAAAATAAAAACTACTACTTTTTTGCAAAATTGCATGAATGACAAGAAATTTAAAGGTTTATTTCATCAAATACATCTCGATGAAAACATACGGATGTGCACTTTCCCATCAACCACGCTGCATTTTTTGTTACAATCAACCCACATACTACAAATCACATCACATACCTTTTACAATGGACAAGCCAACAAATACTGCAACGATACATACTACGAACACTATCATTGTAAACATTGAACCTAATGCAAAAACATAGATCGGGGAAAAAACAATTCCCCGAAAATATTTGTTGTTGAAATTGATGCGGTGTCTGGACAGGCCTTGAGCTGGATGCTGAACCACGATCGATAGTGTGCTTCTCCCATTCACTCAAAGCCTCTTCGTACGTTACAAACCCTTTGTAAGAGGCATTTGGAAATTTATCAACAGCGGATTTACATTCCTCCCAATTATCAAAAATGCCACATTGTCGCCCTCTCTTCACAACATAAAAACACTTTCTTGCCATGGATAACTGCTAAAATAGAGCATATATACATCCGACAAGGTCATTCGACAAGGTATCAAAATAGATTTAACTTGAATTACAGGAACAAGCGTATGCCATGTCTTCTGTGATAAACATCTAAAATTGCCTGATGATGATGACATGCAAGTTATCTAAATGTGCTAACTCAAGGTATCTAAATGTGCTAACTCAAGGTATCTAAATGCTGCTAGAAATAACTAAGAAATGTAAGTTCACTTTTTCAGGATAACCTTTTAATTTGCTGGCTAGGGAATCATCACAGTAAAAAAATGCTATTTTTTAAGACAGAAGCACTCTTGCGAAGCCACGCAAAAGCTTCTCTTTAGTTATTAATTAGCATGCTATCACGCTTGCTGATCCCAATTAAATATGAGATTAGTCTCAAGTCTTAGTTTCATCAATATTCTATTCAGCACTGCTTGTTGTTTACTTTTAACGCAATTGAACTATGGAATCCTAGAAGCTAAGCCCTCAATTAAGATTCATAGATTCATAATGGACCCGTTACCCAAATTACAGAAACACCGGTTTGCGGATGGATCCAAAATGAAGACCACTACTCCGATAAAGATAAAAATTGATATGTCAATTATTAGTGAAATTGTGACCGTGTTAAACTCCAAATGATTGCTGAATCTCATTAAATTCTAGTATTTTTATGATTGTTCTCTGTCTTCTTTATATATATATATTTTTTTTGCCGACTACGGTGTATTGTTTTGCCATGCTTCTAACAACGCAAACCAAAATTAAGCCGGTACAACAACAACAACAAAGATTTATTCCAAATTTTGGAAATTAACTTCATGAAATCTGTTGTTGCATTTAGTTCTATTGAAGGCATGTTTGATAACTATAAAAGGAAACTGAGCCAGAGATAATTTTTCTATAACTAGAACAAAGTTGGTCCAAGGAGATTGCTCTAAAGAAAACTAGTTTGAGGGTTGAAGTTTGTACTAAAGGAAATCAGTTCAATTTTTCTATAACTAGAACAAAGTTGGTCCAAGGAAATTGCAAAATTGTACCTTGTAGGTCGAAGCGAGACGAACAAGCTCCTGGGCCGGCTGATTCGGTGGGGGAAGACGGAGAAGTCGCGGTCTCTGCTGACGGGGGAAGTCGGTGGCTGATTCGGTGGGGGAAGACGGAGAAGTCGCTGACGGCGAAAGCGGCTCTCCTGACTGCCACATGCCCGTGAAACATAGAAGACTCATAAATCGGTTCTCATAGTCAGCCATAGACATATCTCCCTGCTCTAGCTTAGAAAACTCTAGCTCTTTCCCGGCCCGTGTCGCGGAAGAGATATACTGCTCGTCAAAAAATACGAAATCCTCCCAAGTGAGTACCCTCCGATGCTCTGGGGTGAAATGAAGCCTATACTATCCTTCTGCGTTGCCTTTTAAGTTGAACATAGCTAACCTCTGCTTATGTACTGAGTTGACATTAAGTGTATCTAAAAATACTTCCCACATATTCCTTTCATTTATAAGCTGCAGTTGAATCCAATGTGCCCTAAATTCCCGGGGTTCTTAGCTTCTAATATCTTCCTAAATCTTACTGAGCTAAGCTCATTACTCTGCGGCTCTATTAACAGCTAGATGTAGCGATGGTGTAACCGTCGGTACTACCTCTCCAATAGGCATATCTAATATGACTGGTGGTGGAACTTCATAAAATATAATCTGGCTCGTTACTCGCTCCTCGAGTGTTGCCAGTCTCTGCTTCTGCAGTCGGCGATACCAAGTCAATCAAATACTGTGGAGCCTGCTGCGGCTCAAGCTCTGCTTGCCCAGCTCTCCGGGTACAAGTTATACCTCGACCACATATTCATAATATCAAGAGGAGAGCTTAATAAACACAGCAAATGAGATCGCAAACACATAATAATAAGAAAATCATATCACTTATCATTCATGCAAATACTTTTCAATCAAAGTATGATAGTCATAAATTTTTTTTTAATTTTTGAGATATATGTATATATCGTCCTCACTCATTCTAGAAAATCCTAGTAGACTCTATACATGAATCCTAAGAAACTCTATACTAGCTCCACGACTCGACACAGGATGATCCAAATGATACTGGAACTAGAGCTCTGATACCAACTGTGACGCCCCTGTTTTCACACATGGCTGTAGTTCAAGATGAACCCAGAGATGTCAAACCTGCCATGCACCCACACTGTGCAACAACAAGTTTCATCACAGTAATATCCTCTAGTGGGATCAAATAAAAACGTAGGTACAAAACAGGCAAAGAAGTAGAACGACAATAATAGACATGATAACGAAGATGATATCTCATAAATAAAGGTCATGTCTCAACTGAAAATAAATTGAAATAGAATTCTGGAGTCTAAAATAACATACGATGTCTCAACATGAATCAAAACGGAAAGTCGAACTAAGGCACATTGCCTTTACAAAATGGAAATAAACTCTAAGTTTGAATAAAATTTAAAACTACAGTGGAGCCTCTAATAAATCTCTCGGGACGGCGATTATGCAAGAACTCCGTCATCTTGCGGCTCTCCGGAACTCCGAGCTACCTGAAAGTGTATTTTTAAAAGAAAAAAACAACAATAAGAGCGTCAAAGCGCTATAGCAAGATTATCTCCATCCGCCCCCCGGGGAAGGGCTGCTATATGGAGTAGAGGCTCTATCTATTAAGCATAGTCTACCTAAATCATTTTTCCCGTATCTAGCGGAATTAATATTCAGACACCTACAAAACGAGACGTAGTACGTCGAGCGAAATAATCCAAACAAGGAAACCCTTATGTATATACCATATGTCCCGAATCGTAAACATCTAAACATTAATACCGAATTAAGGATAAACAATCTAAATGAAATCAACAATTAAAAATCCACAACACGAGACTGGTACGTCGAGCGAAATAATCCAAACAAGGAAACTCTGATGTATATACCATATATCTCAAATTGTGAACCGCTAATCATTGATCCCAACCTAAGAAATAAAGAAAAGCAAAAAAAGAAAATAAAGACATCAACATATCGTATTCATAATATCTGCCACTGCCACTAGGGAGATAGAATGAATACCGTCACAAATCTTGTGTAATTTCATATACAAAGTACTCTAGGTCATATATTTTAGCAGTTAGTCAAAAACATAACTGGCATCCGCCAATGACTCAGGCTATCGATTGGCTATCTCAATGCAACTCCGTGTAAGATTTTGATACTTAGCATTATCATATATAACGGACTACCCTGTAGGTATCCTAATCAGTGTACACGGCTCATTAGTCTCATCGCGATCACAGTGCGTAACATGAGTGCATAACGGCCTACCATATAGGTATCCTAGAAGTACGGCTCACAAGCCTCATCGCACCCTCGTGCGGACGGACGGCTAAATAAAGCATCCAAACCCGACTCAATGGCCTGCATAAATGGAATATCGACGCACTACCCCCGTAGTACTAAACTGAGCTCATCAACGATATCCAGAAGGTGTGTGTATAGTATGTTCTAAACTCTTTCTCAAAGTAATTGGGTCTTAACCCTTCATAATCCCTCTCAGAATCCCCAAGTGTTTACTAATGCACTATTTATGAAAAATATATATAAAGAAGTATGGCTCGAAGTTCGCAATCACATCTTAAGTAGACATAAAACAAAACTAAGGAAAAATAGCTTTTGTAGTCGACTACAAGGATTAGTAGTCGACTACTCTGAGTCAATCCATACTCTGTGAAAACAAATTTACTGTTAGTAGTTGACTATTAGGGTCAATAGTCGACTACTCTGCTATAACTCAGTCTGTGTTTCGAAGGTTTGACAGAGTAGTCGACTATTATGCTTAGTAGTCGACTACACTGTGAAAACATGTATACTAACGTGCACAAACAGGAAAATTAACTTAACATACACTTATCACTTCATATTTACATGATTTAAACTTGTTAAACATACAGTAATAACTATTCTGAGCATGACAACAAAGTATAAATTTGTCTAGTTAGGGTTTTACATCAAAATTAATCATTTTCTTCAATTGATCAATATGTAAGCAATATGATAATAATAACATGATTTAAAATCTACATATGAACAGAGATCAATCTTGTTTCAAATTCTGATTTTTACAAAACTTAGATGTCACAAGTCTAGGGTTAAACTTCTTTAAATATCATGTACATTCAATTAATTGCATATCTAGGGTTTAGGCATGATCTAAACATGATTAACAGATTAAAAGTGAAACTAAAAGCATCATAATGATTATGATCACAAACTATATACAACAGCAAGAAAAACAAGTATAGATCTAGCATGGGTTTATGAAATAACCTTAAAATTTAATCTTTTTATATCTCATATTAAGATCATGCGCATAAACATAAATATTTAACTTTTAATCTAGTTATTTAACTATAGGGATGGGTTTGGACGAAGATAATCTTACCTCAATGTGCTGTTGGAATCCTCAACCACGTGCACGCAAGATCTCTCTTCTCCAAAATGCCAAAACTCGCCTTCTTCTCGACAAACTTCTCAAGAACACTTCCAAAATTCTCAGTTTAGGGTTAGGGTTTAAGGAGGAAGGTGGCTGGTGATAATCTCACGTGAAATAGGGTAAAAAAAGTTTTAAAATGAATATATATGCTTAGGGTAACAACTGAGTTTGGATACAATGCAAATCCAACCCGAAAACTAAAACCTGGCACGTCCAGGAATTCCCGATAGTCGACTACTAAACATAGTAGTCGACTACTAAGTAATACACAGTTTTCTAAAATGTGTACACAGTATTTTGGCGATAACTTTTTAATCCGACCTCAGAATGAGGTGATTAAATATTTGTTGGAAAGCTGTTGAAAAGACCTAGAATTTTGCTCTTTTGAGTTTCCCAGATTCTAAGTAAATCATTATGTAAAGTCTATAAACTTCTAATTGGTTATTTTTCCCAGATTTTTCTCGTGCATGTTTTGTGCATTTGCACTCATATATTCATATATATATATATAT